GAGTAAAAACAATACCCCCATTTTCATGGAGGGTAATAATGATAAGAGAGGGAGATAAATCGAATACTAGTTTACAAGGAAGTTCAAAAGGTCTTACCACCATAGAGTAAGGGTTGAGTTTTTGTCCTTTTGTGTTGTTACCCAGTCATTTATTTTGATCTTGAACGCTGCTTGGTTTACAGTAATCAAGTTCTTTGGCAGAGTGTTATGGCTTTTTATGCATCTGTACAGAAAAGTCCTGGTTAAGGCTTTGGTTCTGGGCTTGGGGAGTACAAAACCTCCCTTCTGTGATAACCTAGTGTTGTGTTGGTGTGAACTGTTGATGGTTATTACTCTATCATAAATACCTCCTGGTTCCTTGACCGTTACTAACTTGTGAAAAGCACAAATAGTTGAAGCGTACATCCTCTCTTTGACTGTTCTCCAGTTAAGCCTGGAGTGTAGAACATCTGTGCTGGTGGTAAATACTTCATTAGCTGCTAGCCTGGCTGCACGATTTTGCATAACCTGTAACTTGTCTATTTGTGTTTGTGTTGCTGAAGAGAGGATTGTGGAACAATAATCTAGATGTGACAACACCAGTGATCTATCTCTACATGTAATGGTTCCCACAACGCAATTCAACACATTTATTTTATTGTTTGTTACTCTCTTTAATATGTAGTTTGCCATACATTGTACCATGTGCAATTGTGCAATAATAAAGTTCTTCTACTATACTATAGGGCCACTGCAACTGGTGCTGGAATATGCGGAACACGGGAGTCTCCTTCACCTGCTGTGGACGTTACGTGCGGAGTCCAAACTCAACAGGACCGTTCTGGTCAACAAACGACACATCTTCGAGAACATGATGGTGGGAGTCTGCTGCGGACTGGAGCACCTGGCGAGCCAAAGGGTGGGAATTTGTACCAACAATTTCATAGTCAGATGTCGAAATTTGTCGGCGTGGCGCTTCGCTACGTATACATTGGTCATCTTACGTGCGTTATTAATGGGGTGCTTTGTAACATTTTTGCATAAAGAAATTTAAAAAAATGTATTTATGAAAGTAATCGTTCAATTTTAATGTACTTCCACTTTTCAACATATTTCTGCAATTATCTCACATTTTTTGTTGGCGCTAAAAATAGTCCACATAAGGCGCACTCAGTTACAAAATTACCAAAAAATCTCAAGAAACAAAATTGGTCAAAGTAATATGTAATTACAGATCTCATGTCAATGATTTTGGAACACAGAAAGTATTCAGTATCGCTGACCAAGGCTAATCTAATCTATTTATCACAAAGACATGGTTTGGTGAATAAAAAATTATTCAGGCGACGTTTCGGTGACCGTCTAACCGGTTTAAATTGCACAACACCGGTGTAGTTACGGAACGTTAAGTATTTACAGTTACGGTAACAGTATCTACAATGCAGTCCCAAACGTACAGTAGTATAGCACATCGTCTCATAGAACGTCTCATGTAAGGTCGTATTCGCGCATAGAACGTTGACATCCCGTCTGTATAGTTTCCAAATGTTGTGTTGGAAAAGATACCGTCTGCAACAGGCAAAATTCTGATACAACGTTAACCAAACATCCAAGGAAAATTGTGAAAAATCAGGGTTTCGGACAGGAGCAGTACGTTATGCCGACGTGCTCACTAGTGCAAAGTATATAGTCAGTCAGAATTGCCCCGAGGAAGGTGACGGGCTGTCACTGAAACGTCGGCTGAACTTGAAACACTTATGAACTGACCAACCTGATGAAACAATGCACGGACTTGACTTGATCATTTCTATTTACATGTATGCACATCCAGCTGGTTCACCGAGACATCGCCGCCAGAAACATCCTGATCTGTGGGAAGGGAACCGCCAAGATTGCTGACTTCGGGCTGGCTCGAGACACGTACGCTGTTGGGTACCATCGGCAGGACAGGGTAGGTCGTTATCAATTCAGGTTTGTTGCCGTATTTTTACTGGACAATACCGACACAAACCTTAGCCCTAAATAACGTACGTTTAGGCTGTTCGCCTAGTCTCCACCAGACTTCTTCTTCAGGTTGAATAAATGGTAGAAATCGGCATAAAAAGGGTATTAATTTTCGAGAGAAGGTAGCCGGCCATCGACGATCAAATTGGCCTGTTCGCCAGCTCTCGAGGTAACGTGCGATCTGAACTTAGTTCTTGAAGCATGTCAACACACACAAGGAAAATTCAGAGTACGCAGTTTTCGTACATAGTTTTGAATTTGAACATCTCCATGGGTTAGACATAAAAACACTCTGGAGACAGAAGAAAAAATTGTTTTTGTCTTGAGGAATATTTCTGTTAGTGAGCTAGGGTCTCTGTCTTTTCATCCAGGGTAACGAACTCCTGCCTCTGAAGTGGATGGCACCGGAGGGCCTGAAGAACGAGGCTATGTTCACCCACAAGAGTGACGTGTGAGTATTTATTTGGTGATTTTATTTATTGAACTGTCAGACAACTTGGTGGCCCATTCAATTCTGTGACGTTTTAGATGGATAAAGACTGCAAAAACAGTCGTCAGTATCAGTCATTAGAAAAAATAAACTGGCAAAATTTAACAAAATTTAACATGCATGCATGTGACAGATGATTGTAAGACATAACTAACCGACAGTATAGAATATATAGTAGAGGGGATTCATTCCTCAAGCTACCGACAGTATAGATAAACAAATAAATGTGTTACATAAATGTGTTACATGAAAACGAACCTGTTTGCTTGCCAGGTGGTCTTTTGGGGTTCTGCTGTGGGAAGTGGCGCAGCTGGGGCGCACGCCGTACCCTGGGATGGACGGCGCGGACAGAATATACGATGCTCTGCGTAACCACTTCAGACTCCCGAGGCCACAGCTGTGTACAGAGGAAAGGTACGTCCGATATTCGTGCTGCGTACCTGAAGACTTGGTGAAGATAAATTAAATGTACACAGTAGTCTGGTGGCCGTAGAGCATCATCATAGGTGGTCAAAGTGGGGTGGGGGGTGGGGGGTGGTCGATGGGTTTATTACCCGGGCTAGGGCGCGCAGACCTCCAGCTTGGCATTAGACGACTTCACGGTAGAGCCGCATTCTGCTGGGGGAATGATACAAGGCAGTATTTGTCCATGTACGTATCTAAACTTTATAGTTTGGAATTTGGAGCTGCCTCTGGTGCACCCCTGGACTGGTTTAAGTACTAGGCTGTCAGTTTGTATTATTATCATCATAGTTATACACTAGCTTGTTCCTCCTTTAAGAGAGAACGCTTCAGATCGTAGATTTGCATAAGGGAAATATCCACCACGCTTCTCACAAACTAGTGACAAACGTATAGATACTGTACAGTTCCCCATGGTACTACCAGACTGATGCACATTATACATTATACACATTATAGGTCATTGGCTATATATGTAGAAGACATTCATTCTGTGCATACTGTTTACGCAGATACCAGCTCATGCTGAAATGTTGGAAGTTTAACGAGAAGAGAAGGCCGGACGCTACAACAGTTAGAAAACAACTGGAGGCACATCCCAATGTAAGTTTTAAAATGTTTAAATCTACATGTATGAAGATTTACCACATATGTGGAAGGGTTGCCATAACAGGTGACTATCACCTCTTGAAGATGTCAAACTAAGACTAGATTGTAAGGTTTGATGAGATCTTCAACTTGTCCAAGGTGTGGCTGTCCTTAAACACGGGACCTCCGGCTTTACGTCATATCTAAGAGGACGTCCCTACCTGAAGCTAGGTACTCATTTTCACCTGAGTCAAGTGAAATAAGTGCCAAGTGCCTTTCCAAAGGACGCACAGACCTCAGTGAGGCCTGCAAGGGAATCGAACCCGGAACCTTCGGTTTTTGAGCGAACAACCACCTCAATTACCCAAGACCACCTTTTCTTTTAATTTTATTCTGCTTTAATAGTTTTAGCCAGTCTCAAGCACAAATGACCACTTGTTACCGCATGGCAATAGAGACTCGACTTAAGGATGGGATTGGTAATTAAGATTTGCTGCTGGTATAGTGGATTTCTTCATGCGGGTTCTAAGCTTACAGCCTTGATACTAGTTCACATACACCACCCATTAAAATTAGCTGTCTATTTTAATTCTATTAACTTCAAGGTCAATGGTTACTGTTAAATGATTACTTAACCAGATTGTTGTTCAGATATACATAAATTCAAAGCTGTATTGCAATTTTAGGTAGTCGCAGCACCCATAATCAAACCACAAAGCCATAAATGTTTTTTTTTTTGTTTTACAATGTTGTGTCGTGTTGTTACTTGATAGGGCTTCTTCTACTTCAATGTTCCAACGGCATCGATCGAGGCGGCGGCACCAGTCACTCCGGTGTGAGACCACATAGAACGTCGGTAGGAGATCAGGGTGACGACCGTCTGCTGTGGATCTTCACAGGAACTGACTTGATCAAGAGTTAATTTTTGTCCAGTCTTAATCAAGAGTTTTGGGTTACTCATTAGCTGATCATACAATCTGATCTTACAAACTGTATCCAATCCAGAAAACCACGACAAATTAAACAGTATTTACTAAAGTCAAGAGATAATTGTTGGAAAGTACATTGTTACAACCCTTGTCCTGCTGGTCATTCTGACAATATCTGTGCATTACGTGCTCCCTGTCTTACTAATCTACTGTGTCGTTTTGTTATTGTTACACTAGTACGGTATTTTCATTGTAATGTTTCTTACTTACTATTTCTACGAGTATATGTTTACGAGGGATGATTTGTCAATTTTGCTATGCTTTACTTTTATTATTTGTAATAATGTTTTTTTTGGCGACGCCTCAGGGGCGGAGCCCTTAGTATAGTACTGCGATTGAATTGCCAGGAATTCTAAATATTCCACGCACGCATTCCCTAGGGAATTCATTTTTGGCAACACCTTGCGGGTGAGGTCTTCCCTCCCAGCTGTTTAGCCGTTTTTCAATGACTTTGGAGCTTTTTCGACAGCTTGGTCAGGATCATTGTTTGGAATTGAACATGGTCAGCATTTGAAGTCAGATGTTTCAAATGAGATGTCGTGATTGTCTGAATATAAACCAATATGTTACCGCGTTTGGTTGTTGTTTTTTTTCTAGTAGTTTTCCTTCTCTTTATGAAAAGTATGTGTTTGGACATAAACCCAACGGATGAATTCAAGTTCTTTTCAATGTTTTAAAGGAGATGTCGTGACTGTCTGAATATAAACCAATATGTCACCGCGTTTGGTTGTTGCTTTTTTCTAGTAGATTTCCTTCTCTTTATGAAAAAGTATGTGTTTGGACATAAACCCAACGGATGAATTATAAAGTTCTTTTCAATGCAACTATGTGAGGATAAAGGAAAGACGCAGAGACAAGGCTTTCCGCACACTGGGCACGGGAGACTTTTAAGACGGACTGGCTATATATATGACTATATGATACTGGATACGTTAACCCTTTCAGTCTTAACTGAGTTATCTTTTGCTTCTTGAACTGGCGTCCCTTGTTGTAGAAATCCTGTGTCTTTATACTTAGTATTCTCATACCTCCATGGTATTCTGTATTACCGCATAACAGTGGTACATCACTTCAGCAAAGAATAATACATTTGTTCAAAGAAACAAACATATTTGTAACCGGAGCAATAACAGGGACTACAATAACAGAGAACTGTCTAAATAATTACAAGGGAACTGTTTGGAGTTTCATCAGGTCTTGCACTATCATGTTCTTACAAGTTAGTTAGAGAGTGCAATCGTACCACTGCTCCCATATACACCGATTGTTCAGCATCTTCAT